TCATTGGCTGACTTAGTTGCTATGCCTATTCATTGGCTGACCTTGTTACCATGTATCAGCTGAACACCACCCATGCTGGTAGGCAGGGGCAGAATTTTTATTATTATTATTTTCCTCCCCAAAAACTAAGGTGCATCTTATATTCTGGAGCATCTTACACTCCGAAAAATACAGTACACATTTCTATATATGTGTATAGTAAAGAAACCCACACAATTTTACTGAAAAAAATGATAGTAATTAAAAACTAATACAAGATAATCACAGACACAAGGGAGAGAGTAAAAAGTGCAAAGGAAAAGTAAAAAAAGGAAAGAGTGAAATAAGGAAAAAGAAAACAAATATATGAAGAAGTAACTTTCAATTTCCACCATGTATAATCAATTTTTATAGCTCTTTACCTCCAATAAGTTTTCCAAAGATATTTCATCTTCCCTTGAGTCAACCTTGAGCTGGTGAGATTTGAACTGCCAAACTGCAGCTAGCAGTCAGCTGAAGTAGCCTGCAGCAGTACTGCATTCTAACCAATGTGTCACCTCATCTGATTAATCCCTCTCCTGGCATTCAGACCTGTGGGAGACACCTATTCTGTGGTCTCCTCAGGAGGAACAGGATCCGGAGTATATGTTGGTGATCTCCTGTCCTTTCCTTGTCCAAAGAGTCTCCAAAGAACTGCTTTAATCACTGGTTTTTCAGTCTTTTCTGTAGTCTTCATCTCCGCTCTCTAGAAAACATGTTTAGTTCGCCATGCCTCCACTGGAACTCCATATAGTTCTATCATATCTCTGAACAGTTGCACGAGAAGAGTTGGCGCCACCAACATCCAAACATAGAACCAAAGAAACAGCAAGTGTGAAAAGTCATATCTCTCAAAAATGTATCCTCAGGTTAGAAGTTCACATCTCAGCATTCAAGTATCTATTTGTTTGGATGATTCAACAGGATGATTAGACAACTCACAGTGAATTATCTATGGATGCTATTCATAACTGTATATGCAATATCAAATTATAAAAACAGTATGTCAGTAGATCCAATAATACCATTGTGACATAAATGTTATATTACTTTTTAAAGGCAAGTGATGTTCTACTCGGCCATTTTGTAGGGTAAGCCAGCTAATGTGAAACAAAAAGCTATGTTATATTTATAGATCCAGCATAGATATTTTTATGTTTTATAAGTACGAAACCATTTTTTAAAGAAATAGCTCCTCTTTCAAATACCAAGTTGTATGCCAATGACCATATTCTAAACAGATTATAGAAGTTTCATTATAAACATTCATTGAAATACAATGAAATATTATCCCTTTATAATTTCTCTGTCTGTGGTATTAAAAATTACAGTTTAACTGCAATTTTTTGAACAACACTTCGAACCATATGCAACACTGGCAAGTTGTATATGGACCTTTAACTCCAGATTATGGACCTGTCGGAAAAGGGTCTTCAACACTTTTAAAAATCTAATGTTTGTTTTATGTAATTCTGGATGAAAGGGATTCTTATTTTTTATTACATTTATATGCCACCCAATTCCCAGTGGATTTTGAGAGCCATAGATCTTTAAATATTCTCACATCATAGCTGCTTTCTCTTTTGTGTGTGTAATCTGTATGATTACATGGAAAGATTAGAGTTTGAGGAAAATAAAATTAGAAGTTTCTTTACTATCAGATATTTGATTTGAAGTCCCTCTAGAAGCTGAAACATGGCCCCATGCCTCAAGGGCTTTCAAGATCAACCCCAGCACCTTGAATTGGATCTGGAAGCAGACTGGTCACTAATGCAGCTTGCGCAGAGGTGTAACATGCATTCTACCAGAAACATATGTAACTGCTCATACCATCGCATTTAGTACACGCTGAAGTTTCCAAATATTCTTCAAAAACTGTCTCACACAGAACATTCTATTTCCTCTCTTCAATGATCCGTAACAAGGGAGAGGCCACATAGGTGCTATTCAATCCAATGCTCCTTTATTTCAAGTGGCAAGTGGCAACCAAGGAAGAACCATGCAGCAGACCAACAATACCGTGTTTCCCCGAAAATACGACATGTCCTCATAATACAGGAATGCCACGTTTTTCTGGTAGGCAAAAAAATACAACCCCCCCCCCCGCATATAAGCCCCCTGGACAACTCTCCACCTCTGGCCAGGCAGAGCCCCGCTCACCAACCTAGCAGTATCCCAAAGGTGCCAAGCGGCGGGAACCTGGGGGGAGGCAAAGGTGATCGCGTTGTTTGGCGCCTTCGGGATACCGCTAGGTTGGTGAGCAGCGCTGTGCCCAGCTGTTTGCCGGGCAGCTGCTCTCTTGCGAGTGGGCTCCCAAAGAGCCGGGCACAGCCTCATGGGCAAATGGTTGTGTTGCGCTGTCGCAGCAGCGCAACACAACAGCCCAAGAAGCGACCACGCTCACAAGCAGCCACCGAGCAAACCCCCTTTGCAGCCGGGCACAGCACCATTCACTGACCTAGGGGTATCGCCAAGCCGCATGAGCACCTGTTTGCTGCTGGCCATCTCCCGCGGCTTGGCACCTTCCAAATGCCAGTGGATGGCATTCTCCACGGCTGGAGAGGGGAGTTGCGTGATCAGCTGTTGCACTCTCACTCAGCCAACTC